GTATTTGGTGTTGCTTTCAAACAAGTTAGAGCTGAAGGATGATGACCTACTCCTGAGCATTTGTATGATACTCGACAGTCACCATTGCTTAAACGTTCGATTCCTTGCACTTGCACTGTTACTTTAATATTTAAAGATGACGATAATCGTAACTGGTTGGTAAAACATGATACAATAGAATCTCTGTGTGCTGTCAGTAATTCAAAATCTACACTGACCATAATGAATGAGCCCGTGATTGTTTTTGAATCTGTAGTTGAACAGGTGTGTGAAGAAACAGAAGCTGTTGCGATAAATGCTGCAAAAAAAATTAGTTATATTGTATTATGTGCATGTCTTTCTACGGAATTAGGGTGGTAAATAATTTGCAAAAAGAGATTGATAGTTATAGTGAAGAGAGAAGTAATTGTAGTTATTAAGATCATTTTCGAAACGGCTGTGTATCTCACATGTACTTATAGGTTTAACGTTCTGAGAAGGTGATGATTTGTAATTAAAACATTTTTTTTCTACTTCTAAAACGATAGATCACGTCGAGTTCAGTCTTAGTCTCGGATATTCTAGTTGTTTTCATGGAAGATCGGACGGTGATTGTTTCCTATTAAAAAAGAACTGACCAAACTCTACTCATAATGTACCGTCTGAATACTGTGACTACCAAATGAGTAATTTACGACCTGTATAGTCTTTTAGGGTCGTCGTAACCATGAACATGAGATGTACACTTACTTCCAGAAGCAGCATGAACAACGATGGTACTGATTACAGCAATAAGTGCCACAAATGCGAGGCAATATGAAGACATTCTTTGTTGAACAACAGAAAAATAAAATAAATCAAATAGAAAGTTAGTAATTGCTCTGATATTTTTACGTTCTTATATAGTTACAGAAGATTTGAACGAGTCGATCATTATCGTTAACTTTGCCCTAAAATGAATAGTTTTTATAAAACAACAGATGTATCCATTCATCAAATATCCCATCAATATGACTGAAGAAAAGTATTTGCTATTTTTGGCTCTTATTACACCATCTGTGAAAATACATACAATTAGCCCTTTTTTTATAAAGTCATTCCAACCCACTCAGACAAAGAGATGGTAACAGTTTGCATAATAATGACCACATGTTGTCAAATATTGTTTGATGACATTTGCAGTTATTTAAAATAAAAACTCAACAATAACAAGTACATCTATGAGAAAACAAATATCAACAAGACCAATTTATTTCTTCGTTTAAAAAATGTTCACTTTCATGCAGACTTAAAAAGTATGTAGACCAGTGAAGAAAAGGAATCTTTTTTCTATCGAATGTAGAATATATTTACTAGACTTCGATGATGAGATTCGATTATACTAAATGATAAATTACATCATTTTTTTGTTTGTTTTTGTTAGTCAACGTTTTCTTCGTCACTCTATATTTAAAGGATGGATTTTGATTGATATAAACTATTTTAGGATTTACTTGTCAGAAAATCTTATAAGAGATCATGCTTTTTATTGAAAAATATTTATACTGAGTGATTTTTCTTCTAAATAATATTTTATCATTTTAGGTTGAACATCATTTTTGATAATATATTCAAGCATAGATTTGTTTATTCATCTTCAGCGGACGTTTACAGTTGAAGATATGTATCAAGTTGATTAGAGAACAAACTCAACTCCGCTCATTGAAATATGAATGTTTGTTAATATTCATATACGATAGATAATCTAAAATTGATTATAAAATAACTCAGAAAATTTAAATAATGAAATATTTTGTCCTGAAAATGGAGATAACTAAATTGAATTTCTCATTAATAAATTAACAAATTTAATTTATCCGTCTCGTTCATTGATTGATATATATTCAAATGTTTAGATATACATGTATAAGATATCAAGAATTAAAAACTATATAAAGGTGAGACGAGTCTAGACTCCAATTTTTATAGAAATTAAAAAAATATTTCTTCTGATTCAATTCTAATATATTTCATCTTCTTTATTTACAGCACATAAGATTTCACTGAAAGACTTTTTTGTTATCAAATATTTTGATAAATAAGTTTTCAAAGATATGTACTTGATAAAAAATGTACCCAGAGGACATCAACGTATTTGTCAAAAATATTTTCTAAACAATAAATGAATATATTTAAAGACATTTGTTTAACATAATGAATAAAAGCAATATGTTGCCTTCTTTTTTTATGGCATTGATATAAACGAGTTTGTTTTCTTTTATTTTTAGAAAATATTTAATCAATAAGAGCATCTGTTGCCAACTAAAAAGAATTATTCTTCAGAGCAATAATAAGCGATAATAAAAATCTATTTTTATCTTTAACGATGATTATTAAAAAAAATGATGACAAAAATAGTAAAATTATTGATTTTTCTAGGGTGTGAATATCAGTGTATGTATGTGGGTATAAATGTACTTGTCAAATGTGTCTTCTTTTGATCCACAATCAAACCCTAAACTATACCCTGCACTTGCAGTTGAAACATCAAAACAATCTTTTGTATTTATAACTTACACTTATAGTGAAATTAGTTGGAAGTTTCTACTAAGAAAGGCAGAAAAACACGTGCTCGCTTTCTTTTTATAAAACAAATCTGTGAATCATTTATTGGCTTTTTATTTACAATATGAAGTTTTACAACTGATGACGATGCTTTGTCAAACAGAATGATTATGACACATATTCACCATCAACGAGAAGCGTAATCCCGAGGAATTGGATAGATCATATGTACAATGCTTCCATCTTGGATGTGCCAGTCGCTCATCTTCTGGCCATCATACGGTACTCTACCTCCATGAATCAATTTTTGCTGATCTGGTGGCCATCCTGTCTTTTCGTGGATTTTGTCTTTTAAAGTTTCCCAACTATCAGTACTTTCGATTTCGACAGAGAAGACATCGCCACGTAACATCTGAATAAATATATGCATTTCAGCGACAAATGATGGCGAAGAATAAATGTTTGTACAATACGCGAGAGGAATGAGAATGAATCGAATTTTTTTATTTACATTTTGAGCGATGATTCAGCACAGGTGATGTTGTGACAACATGCCTCCACGATATACCGAGGAAAAATCTATAATGCAGAACGTCGGAAAATAGAACTGACATGGATGAAACACACTTCGGAATATTGCAATTTTCTTATACATATAGAACTCGAAGTATTCACTTCAACTATTGAACACCAGGCGAGGGTGCACGATGAGAGATGATAGGCACGCACACCCACCAATAACTGTTGGTATTTCAAGATGGTCAAAAATTTGATAAACAATTTCAGCAGGAAGCCTGGGAAGAATTGATATGACTTTGTTAGACATTGATGGCTTTTTTTCTTTTGAAAGCATATTTTTTTCATTTGTATATTTCTATGTTGAAAAGCATTTGTGTTTCAAGTGAGTGTGATTGTTGATCACGTGTTATAAAAAACCTTTCATGCGATTGAGTAATATGTTATTTCAATACAAAACACAAAAATTTGGTGTATAAAATAAAGTTTTGTGAGATACTCATCGTCTCTTCTTGTATTTGTTTATCGATTATAAAAATATTTTTTTATTCTTCTCGTTCTTTTTTGATCACTGTACGAGAGAAGCGCAAACCAAGCAAATCATTTGACTTGGTATCTATTTGAAATGATCTGATGATCAGAAATGAAACATATAATCCAGAACAATAAATGAAATACTAACGGCATCATTAAAAAAACTTGATTTTGTGAATATTTCGATTTTGATAAATTTGTAAAACCCATCTTGAGGACTTGCCTTTGGGTGTGGATATTATATTTATCTCATAAAGATCACTTACCAAGCATGCTCACCACACTCACACCCCTATGGTTCATCAATGAATTTATTTTCGAATTGCAATCAGGCATTAACGAAACTATTAATAAATATTTTTTTCATCCCCAAAAAATTGTCGAGTTTGTACGAAAGAGAAAAGTTGATTTTACTGTTTTTGTTTTATTTTTGTACATAAAAAATAGGCAGAAAATGTTGTATCGTAAAAAACTTATTCTTAACGTTTTATATGACAATAAATAGAAAAAAAAATAATATAGATAACTTGATTTTTTTGACTCTGATAAGACCTAGAAATGAGAAAAAGAAAGAAAAGATATAATCATGCGCAAACATCGATCATACTTCTTACATTCGCTGTCGTAATATATGCCGCACGAACTCAGATGATTCATATTTGATGTCTTATTGATAACATCTAAAGATAAGACAAACACATAGAACCAAATTCATAAATTTTTCGATTCATATCTATACAGAGAATTCTATTTTGAATCAACATGTTAACATATATTCGTACCATATTGTTGCTTTTGACGATACATCTTGCTCAAAACAATGCTTCCAATGTTCTAATTATTACTATGGGTCTTGGAGGTCATGTAACGCCTTTATTTGAACTAGCAAAAGCTATGCAACATCATAATGTTACATTTCTCACTTCAAAATTGGCTCAAACCTATATTAATTTCGATGCTTATACTTCGCCTTCTTTTCACATTATCTATTCAAATGATTCACTCGATGCATTTTTAACAGAGAAAAATCAGGAAGAAGAACTCTGGTCCACTATTGCCAATCTATCAATAATTAATGCTTGGCCATTCGTAGTACCAGTATTCGCCGACATGATCTCATTGCTTCTCAAGAAGACCATTCAAACGCTCACAAACGAACATTTCGATGTGATTGTGTCCAGTAAAATGATTATTGGTGTACCTGTTTTATGTCAGAAGATGAACATACCTTGTGTTATTCAAAGTCCTGGTGTAATGCCCAACATGTTCGATTTCAATTTACCAAATACTTTTGCATTGACAACAACAAAAGATGTAACTCGACTTTCATCACGTCTTTACAATGTTGCTTTTACTCTACGAATGCTAACAAAAATAGTACCAACAATAGTACCTACTCTCTATCTATTTCTTCAATCACTTCCACAAGTACCAGGACCCTTTTATGATAGTTTCACAATTAAAAATTTACTATTTTCAAACTCAAAATGCTTAAAACTGATCAGTATGCCTATGAGATTTTATGTACCCACCTATTCAACTCAATACACGAAATATTTGGGTGCATTTGTAGATGAGACATTTATTGTTGATCAAGACACAGATCTCAATCAATGGGTAAAATCTAAACCATCAAAATCGATTGTATATGGAGCATTTGGTAGTACTTCACTCATTTCTTATAATCGAATGCTTAACTTAACAATTGGACTAACAAATTTTCTTTTACAAACAAATCATACTTTTCTTTTGTTAGCATTTCGTCGTGCAAATTTCAATACGTATCAAGCAGTCTTGAAAGATTTGCATAGTGATGAGTTGAAGAATCTTCTGCTCGATAAAAATCGAGTGCGTATTGAAGAAGGTTTTATTCAACAGAAATGGGTTCTACAACAAGAATCTGTCAAAATATTTTTAAGTCATTGTGGGATGGGATCACTATTAGAATCAATTTATTTTGGTAAACCAATTGTGTGTATGCCATTCAATGTCGAACAATTTTCCAATGCAATTACTGTAGAGAATTTAGATGTTGGAAAATCATTATTCATTCCACCTTCAGCTTGGCAATCTTTCATAGATCCATATAATTTTCCTAATTATGAATTTACATTTGATAGTGTTACAAACAATATGATGACATTGTGGATGAATGGAACACATGAGAATGCTGTCAAGTTCATGTCATTGGAAATGAAATATGCTGGTGGTACTAAACGTGCTGTTGAAGAAATTGAGTTTTTTGTCAAATTAAATGGTGATCTTGATCGTTTTGAATCATTTCAAAGTACTTTACCATTCTATCAACGATACATGTTCGATCTTTTACTTATATATATTGTATTGCCAGGAACAATATTATTCTTTACAATTCGTCGATGTTGCCAACGTTCAACAAAACAAAAACGTGATTAATCAATACTACATGTTCTTATTTCTAAATATCAATTAAAATAAGATTCAAACTTAGACACACTTTATTTATGTATTTTCCATTGATTTAATTTTGAATAAATTGTGAAACCAATTATCAAGATATGTTATACGGAATCAAGGGGGAAAAAGCGAGACTTCAGGAGTGTGTACTTCACTAGTACTTCATCGGTACTTCACCGGTACTTCACTGATACTTCACTGATACTTCACTCTACTTCACTCATACTTCACCCTACTTCACCGATACTTCACTCTACTTCACTAATACTTCACTGATACTTCACTAATACTTCACCCGTACTTCAATCTACTTCACTCATACTTCACTCATACTTCAATCTACTTCACCCTACTTCACTTCTACTTCACTGATACTTCACCCTACTTCACCGATACTTCACTCTACTTCACTCATACTTCACTCTACTTCACCCGTACTTCACTTGTACTTCACTCATACTTCACTCTACTTCACTCGTACTTCACTCTACTTCACTCGTACTTCACTCTACTTCACTCGTACTCCACCCTACTACACTTCTACTTCACTGATACTTCACTGGTACTTCAATGTACTTCAGTTGTACTTCACTATACTTCACTAGTACCCCACTAGTACTTGAAGTACAAATGAAATCCTGACTGAAGTAGAAGTGAAGTAGAAATGAAGTAGATGTGAAGTACAATGAAGTACCAGTGAAGTATGACTGAAGTATGACTGAAGTACAGTGAAGTACGATACTTCACGGTACTTCAGTCGTACTTCAATTTACTTCAGTCATACTTCACCCGTACTTCACTTGTACTTCACATCTACTTCAGTTCTACTTCAGTCGTACTTCACTTCTACTTCAATCTACTTCACATCTACTTCACATCTACTTCAATCTACTTCACATCTACTTCACTCTACTTCACATCTACTTCAATCTACTTCACTTCTACTTCATTCTACTTCAGTCGTACTTCAATCTACTTCGCTCGTACTTCATTCTACTTCAGTCGTACTTCAATCTACTTCGCTCGTACTTCATTCTACTTCAGTCGTACTTCAATCTACTTCGCTCGTACTTCAAAAACATTTGAAGTAGATGAAGTCTCGCTTTTTCCCCCTTGTACGGAATACTCTTTTTTTTTATCGAAGACAGATGAAATTTCATCTTGAATAAGAATATTTTGTATCAATCAGATGAAAATATTTCAACAACTTTAGTTAACATTCTTTAAAATTCACCACATTTTTTTAGATTTAAGAATGTTTTTGATGATAAAAAAATTCAATGCATTTCAATCAACTGATATTAGATTCATTCACTGCGTCATCTATTATTGATCTACATGACTCTCTAGCAATATTATGTTCTTCTCAATGCTTTGTTCATTATAGTCATCTATATTTACACCTTTACCCATTCATATATTTAGCTAATATAGATCTTTGAGTATTTATTTCAATCTTATTTCATCTGAGTCATTGATACCTTTTTTCTTTTCTTATTTTCTACGAAGTGGTGGAATGGACGATTAAAATATAGAGATTTCATCGGCTAATATTATCCTCTATTCATTCTATTTCACCATAAGAGAAAAGGATAAATACTCATGTTTATAAATAGTACAAAGATGAAAAGTTAATTCAATTATGAACTTTTATCAACCCATGAAAAAGATAACAATTTTCTCTAGAACGTTTTCTTATTAAATAATCACAAATTACAATGATCTTTCTCATTATTATTGAATAGAATATTATACATAAATACAAAATATAAATTGACAATTTCTCATATTTCATGCATTAAATTTACTGCGTATTTTTTATTCTACAGTAAACTGAATCATTGAATGATCTGCTTGTTCTATGATTCATTTTTTTTCTTTCAACTACAAAGAAATGTATAAAATAATAATTATTTTGTGCTTCTTTATCGATCGTATACTGTCGTGTAATTTAATTCCAGAATGTAAAGACGAGAGAGAAGGAATTATGAACGGTAAAAAGGGCGCCTTCTTTTTTTCTTTTCAGTTCTGTATAATTTAGTCTCTGGTTATTTTACTTGTGTTCGATACGCATAGAAGTGAAAAAAAACATCGGTGACATTTGTTTCTTTAGTTGACATTTCGATATAGAAGTAGAAGAACAGCAACTATTTCGTCGCTTTTAATGAATATTTGAGTGTTTACAATACAATAAGTCATACTAGAGAGAGAGAACAACTCTGATGTTATGGAGACGAAATAAAACTTGTCCTACTTTTTCTCTCATTTGTACAAACAAATTATTTTTCTCATGATGCAGGCACGATGTGTATAGTACAGCACTCATTTAATTATTGGAATTTCAATAAATCAAAATATTTATATTTTTCAAAACTTGTAAGTAGTTTTGGCAATTATATATATATAACAAACACTAAAATAAAATTAGATGATACAATTGTTCATTCAAGTATTCAACTATTGTTAATAATGTAAATATCAGTTGATGCAATTGTTGAATATCAAAGTTTTTAGTTTCAAGTTTCTTATTACTAATCACACTGTCGTCTACTCTTAAGATATTTTACATTATAGTTTTCTATTATCGTATTGTTTTAGATACAAATAACGTATTTATATATTCTCTACACAAAATGTTTCTAAAAATCAAAGAACGACCAATGAATATAACTGAGTCTTATCTTTCCTATTATCGTCATCGATGGGGACTTCTTATTATCTTGATCTCTGCAGTTTTCTTATTTATATTTTCCATTATTCCTCATATTATCTTTGCAACTTCAAAATTGTCTGCTACTGATGATTTTCTTCTACCGCAATCTTTACAATGTCCACAAAAAAACAGAACTAGACTTGAATCAGGTCTTTTACATCTAGCACGTAGTCGAGTCATTATTTGTGGAATGGTACGTGATCGTGAAACACGAATTCCTCGTATTCGTCAACAAATCGAACAGATAACACGCTTGTTTGCTGATTATGCCATTGTTATTGTAGAGAACGATTCAAAAGATGGAACAAGACGTCAATTAATTCGCTGGGCTCAAGATAAAAAAGTTGCTGGTCGAGTTCATGTTATTGGATGTGGTAATAAAGTTAATGATGATCGTCCATGCAACCTATCATTAGCTCGTACTGCACCAAATCATCTTCCAGATCTATCACGTATTGAAAAGATGGTTCAGCTACGAAATATCTACATGAAATATATCGAAGATAACACTCAACTATCACAATATGATTATCTTCTCGTACAAGATTTTGATCTGGTAACTTATACTTATGTTGATGGACTTCTGTCAACTGGTTTTCATTTCAATACAGATCCAACTATCGATGCAATTTGTGCAAATGGTGTTTATAATCATATACTATTTGGTCGCAAAAAATATTTTGATCCATATGCACACAAAGATGAACAGAATCAAAAGTGGAGTGTATTGTATAATGATATATGGTCATCATTTTTTAGAATCTATCCATGTAATATCGATTTAGTACCTGTACAATCGTGTTTTTCTGGTGCAACTCTTTATCGATATTCAAGTATAAAAGGAAAACATTATCGTACTTATCTCGATTCATACAAACAAGCAATCTGTGAACATGTTGGATTACATGAGACACTTAAGAAAGTCTATTTAAATAGTGAAATGATATTATATATAATAAAAAATGATATTTGATAAGTGGATGTTTTTTGTTGTATTTGAAAAGATGATATTCAATAGAGAGAAAAAATATCAAAAGAGGATTATTTCTAAATTTAAAAATCTACTATGAGTTCTTAATATTGCAAAAGAAAATGTATAAAATAAAATAAATAGTTTTAATCGAAAGAAATTCAAAATGAACTGATTAACTCGACAACTGACTCTCTAATACTCCTTGTCTAAACAATAATCTAAAAAAGTAGAACTTCAAAAATAATTCTAATGTAATATCATACAGATAGTATAAGACAATCTTATGAATAAATGAACGATATTAAGTTTTTCTCAAAATAATTTTATGAATATATAACAGTTTCATCATTAATCGAATACTTTCAACACTTAATTTATTATTTACATATATATTTTCTTAAAATTACAAAGTTTACTAACTATAATAATTTTTATTCATCTTCCAGATGCGAATCTCTCCAACAAAATCCTATACTTTTCAGTATTTATTCATAGACAAATTTGACACTGAGATTTCTCGCTCTGGAAATTATTAAATCTATTTGAAAGGTAACTACTAACAAACAAAACAATTCAATAATCATTTCTAAAATTCTAGTTTGAATAGATTTTATTTAGTAGAATTTAAAAAATGTTATAAAATGGTTAGCCTCACTTACAACTACAGTTTCATCAAAAATAAAGTTTACTATTAGATAAACATTACAAATCTATTAGAATTATTAGAATGAGTGTGTAATAATCATAACATTAATCTTATCAAGAATATTCAGTTAAAAAGTAAATATTTTTCTCTATTTCTACTTTATAGATGAAAAATTAAAATATTAAATAATGATGTGCAGTAGTATTCAGTACAATCTATCAATCACAAAATAGGACTTTTCAAGTAATTGCAATTATTCAATACAATCTATTAAAAGAAACTAATCAACTAATAAAAACTACAAAAGATAAAAACATCTTCAACGACTGTTCGATATTTAACTTATTTTTTATTTAGATTATATTTCTAAATTTGAAAATTTATCTATATATGAATAATCTGTATTTTGTTATCAACTCAAACATAACTAAAATAATGAGATGAATTAAAAATCAATTTTATCATTGTAATTTATCATTATTCATTCTCTTTCTCTCTTAAACTATTATTTATAGTAATGAATCTGTTCTGTTCTGTTCTATATTTATAACTATAAATAAAAATATGATGAGTACTGTCAAAACAAAATCACGAATTACAATAATACACATATCGTTAACCAACCAAAAAAATGTGAACTCATTCATGCATATTCATTGTATTCAATATTATCTCTTTTATTATTGTGTAGAACAGAATAAAATATGTGGGTAGTCGATCAGTAATATCGTGTAGGTGTGTACTATAAAAATATGTGTAACCGTGCACATATAATCGTTCGATTTATTCAAACGTATACATTTATTATTTTCGTGAGACAAATTTTATCAACTATCTACGAAAGATCTTCCACACATTGGTAGTAGAAATCAACAAAATATTCAAACATAATTAAATATTACACTTGACTTTGGTAGGAAAATCATTTGAAATTAAAATCAAAACAATATTCATTTATATTCATAATTCATATTTATGAGTTGTTTTACAATTATTTTCGGTTACTCAATTTTTTCAGTGATAAATATAAAAAATTCAAAATTCTACAGTGTTTTGGTCCGCAATTCAGGATGAAAACTTGATTTTTTTCAGCTTTGACACTTTTTGTTCTTTCTCATTTTCTCTAAGCATTAAAAGATATTAAATGTATAGTATCTAATTGGTCCTATAGAGGGACCCACTATAGCTACGGTTAGCCCTAGTTTCGAACACCGTCACTGCTCTTACATATAAACAATTATTTATTCTCTGTAAAACTGTCACTTTTCTTATCCTGATTTTTACTGATTACTGATAAGGAATTTTTGCAGCTTCGTCTGTCTGTTGTACGCGTCCATAGGCTAGCTATCCTTGACCAATAACGTTCCACTTAATCTCTCTTATGTACTTATTTATAAAAAAATAAACATTGATCTCAACAATCGTGATAATCTTGATCATAACGGTTTTCGACCAGATGCTACTAGAAATCAAAAACAATCAGCAGTATTGGTTCAAGTTACGTCAAAGACGTGACTAAGCTGCAGGTAGGCACACAGCGTCCAGATATAGAGCTAAATTAACACAATGGATAGATGAATTAAAACGGTCACATCAGAGTATTCAATCATCATATCGTGATATTCCAACTGCTTTGTTGGTGATATTTGATATCATGTTAGAGGATATCGATCTAACACAAACAGAAGCTCACTGTGGATGTCATTCTTTAATGTAAATTAGTTGTTATACTTATCAAATAAATAAGTTTTTGAACTGACTCAAATTCATGTCACACTTGATTTTTTCGTATATCTTTATTTTATTTTGTGGAACTCACGTAAATTTTCGAAGAAAATCGTGAGTGTAAGTTTTAAGCTCAGACTTTCAAGCTCCCCCCCCCCCCAAAAAAAATTCAATAAAAATACGCAAAAATCATTAAAAATAGCTATAAATTGCTAAAATTTTAATAAAAATATTGAAAAAAGCGTTAAAATGGCTATAAACTCCGAGATTTTCTATAAAAAATAAGCAAAATAGTTAAATACAGCTATAAATTACTAGAATTTTAATAAAAATAAGCAAAAATTAGTAAAAATAGCCATAAATTACTTCCAATTTAATAAAAATAACGAAAATGGTGAAAAATAGCTATAAATTGCGGGAATTTTTATGAAAATAACGACAAATCGTTAAAAATAGCTGTATACTGCCGCAAATTTAATATAAATAACCAAAAATTGTCAAAAATAGCTATAAATTAATTAAATTTGAGCAAAAAAAGAAGACAAAGCACTTAAACATGATCAGATATTTCGATGCGAACATACGTGAGTTCCACATTTTTAGTCCCAACAGGGCTGCGTTGATAAGCTTTTTTTTATAAAGTTAATATCATGATTTATCAATATTATTATGCCATTATATAGATTATACCTTACCTTAACAAACTCATAAGTATGACCAAAAAATAACGAAAAACTATTGCAGGAGAAACAATCGAAAAAAACCTGTTTTACCCTGAATTGCGGACCAAACCACTGTAATATTTTATATAGAGAATATGTAGTAATATACAAATACTCATAACAGTTTCAAACTAATTACAAAACTTCTTTATTTTTTTCTATGAAATCTAAAGATAATTATTCAGATTCATTTTTTGAGTTCAACATATTTCATATTGTTACAATCAATAGACTTTTTTCTAAATGATTAATCTTGATTTTAGAAATAATAAACTTATTTTTTTATATTCTTCAATAAAAACAAATCTAATTCACTTAATATCTTTTCTCTAGTAAATCAACAATACTTTCATGACTTCCTTTGTCTCTAATAACACTATTTGGCAACTTAATGATGAAGATTCTATTCAAATCAAATATAATACAAATAATCATGAATTAATAATAGAACTGTTTCATAATGGAATAAAAATGAATTCAATTTCATTAAATAATGATCAATGTTCAACATTTACTCGTCGATTTTGTGATACAACTAATGAATTAAATGAATTATTAACTGATTTATTGATACAAACATCAACAGATGATTGTAGTATTCGTGTGATTGATGATGGCAAAAGTCTTGAAATTATTTTTCCAATCTATTTTGGCAGTCAAAATCGGAAAAAGATTTGGTCATTTTTTATTCATTTTCCAATTTTCTCACTAAATTTGGGAGAAAATCAAAATGAAGAAGAAATGTCACTTGATCCACTTGATTGGACAGATACAAGAATATTAGGACATAAAATCATAGATGATATGATTGATTATTTACGCGATATTCGTCAACAACCAACATGGCGTCCAATGCCAACTGAAATAAAATCAGAATTAATGCAAAGTGAACTTCCATTAAAAGGTGAATCACCTTGGAAAGTTTATGAACAAATTCAAAAAACCATTCTTCCTTATCCAATCGGTAATATTCATCCAAGATTTTGGGGTTATGTCAGAGGAAATGGTTCATCCATTGGTGCTTTAGCAGAATTCATTACTGCAACAATGAATACAATGTCATCAGGTGGTCATCAATCAAGTATTTATGTTGAACGTCAAATATTATCATGGCTTAAAATTATAATGGGTTTTCCAAATGATGACACATGTTCAGGTGTACTTGTAAGTGGTACTTCAGTTGCAACAATTATATCGATGGCAGTTGCAAAAAAGAAATTTGATGGTCAATTAATAAAAGTTTATTATTCATCAGAAACACATACTTGTCTGATCAGAGCTGCACAACTTTTAGGTATTGAAAAAGAAAATATGATTATCATTCCAACAAATGATCAAAGACAAATTGATTTAAAAGTAAATAGAAAAGAAAAGAAAAATATTTTCTTATTGAGATTTCTTATTTTATTCTATTTAGATTTTATCAGAATCAATTGATTCAAATTCTTGTGCTTTTATTGTTGGCTCAGCTGGAACAGTTGGCACAGGTTCGATTGATGATCTTCAAGGTCTTGCTGATTTATGTTCAATTAATCCAAATAAATTATGGTTTCATGTTGATGGTGCTATTGGTGCAGTTGCGAGATGTTCAACACGTCTTCGATCATTATTTATTGGTCTTGAACGTGCTGATTCAATTGCATTTGATTTACATAAATGGCTTTTTATTCCATATGAATGTGGTTGTGTTCTTATACGTCATGGTGAATTACATCGAGCAACATTTGCTCAACCACATGCATTTTATTTAGCATTAATGGATGGTGGAATAACACCACGCGAAGGAGAATTCTTTTTTAGTGATTATACATTAGAATTATCAAGAAATATGAAATCACTTAAAGTTTGGATGACACTTAAAACTTATGGAATTGATAAAATTGGACAAATTATGGAACAAAATGTTGATCAAGCAAAATATTTTGTTAATTTAATTGAAAAATATCATCATGATGAATTACAAGTACTTGCAAATGTTTCACTTAATATTGTTTGTTTTCGATATTATTTTAATCATAATAATAAGACGAATTTAGAATTATTAAATAAATTAAATAAACATTTATTAGTTCTTATTCAAGAACGTGGCATTGCTGTTGTTTCTCCATATGTTATTGATAATGAAATATTTGCTATGCGGATGTGTATTATTAATCATCGAACGAAACAATCGGATCTTCATTGGTTTATTGAAAAATTATTAGAAATTGCTCGACAACTTAGACAATTACCTGAATTTGCAACTATCGAAAGTTAATTTCCGTTTCTTTTTCTCTTTCTTTTCAATAATAAAAATGATTTTTCATAATTAAAAATCAAAAATTAACAAAATCTGTTTGAAATTCATTCAACAAAATGTTTAATAATTCTTTAAATAAAAACTAAAACATTCAATTTATCGATCTCTCTTTTGTCTATAATAGTAACAAAGAATTAATTTTATTTATTTATTAGATATTGATATAATAGATAAAATATTCTATTTTAAATAATTAACATCGTATTGTTTTATTTATTTGTATTTCTATTATTTAATCTACAAATTATTTTAATAATAGATGAAATATGAATATATTTCTTGTAATTTAAATTAATATAGAATTTTTATTTAAATATTTTTTGTTTGATTATAAAATATATTTCAAATAAAAATAATTCTGTTTTATTTATCGATTTAATTATCAAATTTATTTCAAAATAAACTAATGTTAAAATGAATTTTATCAGAAGATTTTCATTGTAAATAAATCATAGATTAAAAATTATTATAAATTATTCTTAAATTCTGTCCTCTAAAAGATCTTCAATGAAAATAATAATGACTTTCAATTGATTATTCAAATACTTCATAAAGAACATATTTAATATAATAAATTTGTATATAATAATGATGAGAAAGATTTTTCTCTTCTAGTTAAATATTTAAATATATTATCTGAACAATACAAAATAAAATAATATGAAGTTAATCAACTTCAAAATAGACATGAAAAGATATTTATTCTATTCTATTCAAATAAACTATTTCTAGAGAAAAAGATTGTATAATTATATGATATAGTTTTATGTTATAATATATATTTCTTGTTTTTTTTAAAGGATATTTAATCATCAATGAAATTTAAAAAAATATTTGTAATAATGGAAAAGAATTCATAATTAATAACTTACTAATTTATTTTGCTCCAAAGAGAATATAAAAATAAAATATCCAGTAATTTAACTTATTGTTTGTTATTATTTTGTGATTTATTCAACATCAGTATTTTAAAATGACACATTTCTCTTCGTTAAATTCAATTGAATGTAAAGGTCAGATTTAATTATCTTAACTTTTATAATTTCATTTAAATAAATAAATATGATGGAATTGTTTTATTCTTAACACAATTTTATCATATAATATTTGTAATTAGTTAGAAGTATAATAAGTCATTTGTTATTTAATATGGACGATAACGATGTGAATTATACCTAATTCTTCTTAATGATTCTCGTTGTTCATTATTATTATTTTCATTCGATAGTTCTATTGTATTTTGTTGTTGTTGTTGTTGATTGAATAAAAAAGATGATTGAAATCGAATATGATGATTATAGAAACATCGATGACCAAATCGACAATAACCATATCGTAACAAAGTTTGACATGGAACATTTTTTAAACGTAATTTATGTGCATTAATTAACAATTGTTTATCATTATTATTATTAAAACAACGCCAACTTGGAGCAATAAATGTTGATCGAATACGACATAAAGGACATCGTCTATTTGTCTCTTTATTACCCTGAAGACAAAAAAGTATTTAAAATTTTCAATTTTTTTTATTTATTTCACAATTCTGACCGTTTGACGCCAAGTTGATAAACAATCAAAACAAAATATATGATTACAATTATTTTGTAAACCAAATGGTTTATTCATTGTCAAAATATTTTCAAAACAGATATAACATGTCATATTATCTATTTCTTCAATTCTATCTTCATTAGACATATTTTTACTTTTAGTTCATTTAATAAAACATAAAATTAATCATATATTTCACTCAAATAAAAACAAAATTAAGTAAGCAAAATTAGTTTTTTATTTTATATAAATTGCGCAAATTTAACAGAATGATTCAATAAATTAATTTCTAACTATAGTTTTTTATTATTATTATTCTTTTTTTGAATAGATTGAAGACTATAATAAATGATGCATAAAATAAAAGTTATCAATAGAAACAAAATACTTTTATATTCAATCCCATTTCTTTTCTATGTAAAGATTAATTAAAGATATCGACATAGTTTATAGTAACTAACAAACATATCAAGTCTCAAATGAATCTAAAAGATATAATTGTATTAATCTCAACAATTTTTGATGTTTGAGAGAATATATAAATTCACATAAATATTACTTATAGGAAACTTTTAGCAGAATTTCTCATTTCGTCGTCTTCAGACAAACAGCAAATATAAAAAAATAGGGTGGGTGTGGATGACGGTAAGGATAAATGTTCATTAGTTATTGACATCCACACTCAGTTATTTTTGACCTTGAAATGGATGACACTGTTGAAACATTTTGTACTGTGATGGTTGTGATCAGAATGAAATGTGATCGTTGCGTAAACTATTGAAAATTTAGCAGGTTTTATGGATCGATTAGAATATTCAGATATATGCAACTCGAATAATGTCTTCTGATTTTACGTAACAAGTATGAGATTTGAAATAGTGAAGGATTTAGGTTTGTTTATGTAATCAACAAATAACTCTTAGTCTCTGGAAATCTTGGAACCTGTCATCATCTTAGTTGCTGTCGGATATAACTAATCGAAGTTATGAACTCATTGAACTGCTGTGAGTTTTTTATTTTTCTTAGATTTGTTTCATAGAAATAATAATTTCGTACTCGCGCTGCAGAATATTGCATTGAAGAAGTTATATTAGCACATGTTGAGTATGAATCATAGTGTATATTACATTTTCTTATCTATATCACTTGACAAACTTTAGTTCTTTCTTACATACACAGACAATATTTCACGATGGTATTTCTGTTTGAATCATTCCCAAATGAAATTTTTATTCACGGAATATTTTCATATTTATCTCTGATCGATTTAAACTATGAATTTCTATTATTGAATCAACGTTTTAAATGGCTTGTCGATCGCTTTTTAGCAAGAAAACAACATTGTATACATATAACATGTGACACAACCTGCCACAAAGGTGCATTTATTCTAGATTACATTTTACCATTTCATTCTGATAATCAACATTTAAAAAGTTTCGAGATAAGTCATGCTGAGATTTTTATTAAATTTATTGACAATATCAATCGAATTGATACAAATCATCTTAATAAAATCGTGGTAACACCATATATTGATATCTATTTTGACTCAGTGATAAATATCGTGTATAAAAGTCCTCAATTACATGAAATAAAATTAAATGTTTTGACAAACATCGATTCAAGTTGGGGAGATGGTCGAAAATGGACTCGATGGTTTGAAATATTGATGAAACAAAACCGACAAAACATTCTGAGAATTCTTGATATTTGTATTTGGTGTATAAATAATAATGATGCTAATAATTTCGACTTACGATTATGGAGCAGGGAAGGTGTCTATCAACTTAATACAAATTGGAAAGTACAACTGAAATCAGATCAATATTTGAATTGGACTCAAAGAAGACGAGCTATTGAATGTAGTCCAAGTGATCAAGATTACTCAGTCATTTTTCATGACAAACAAAATCCAACGTGTTCAATTAACTAATTCGATTCTGGAATTTTGAACACATACAAACTATCGTGAGAGTCTCACTAAAACTGTATTTACATGTTTTTTTTATGATTATTAAACAAGAATTGATAGGCACAATCATCAAAACATATTATCATTTATTCCCTTCACTAGTTTTATATATTTAGAAAAAAACAACCACCATGATTACATTAGAAAATTCATATATCATGAACACAAAATAGTACATATGTATACATAGAATAGATTTAGATACACATAAATGATAATGTCACCGAGACTGTTGGAAAATAGACAGGATGTCTCAGATCGATTTCTATAATTAAACAAGCTGAAATCAATGTACCTTACAGTATAAAAGGAGACACCAATAAAAGTAAATAAAACATCTGGATTAACAGTTAAAACAAAACAAAAACAACCGAATCCTACAATTTAAAAAGTAAAACTAATCAATTACTGTATATATTTATTTTGACGTGAATCTCAAACAAAAAGATAAGATAAATTGACTGATTTAATGTTCTCGATATGTGTCATCGTACAATGGCATTAAAAGTTCACGAGCAAATCCATCAGTTATAAAACGTTTAAAATCTATAGAAAGAGAAATTTAGAAAAAAAACAATCTTAAAATAAAAATCTTATAACTAACCTTCGAAATTTAATTTTCCTTGATTTGTTAATTGTGAGATTATATATTGTATTTTATAATTTGATTCTGATTGTCCAACAATAATAAGTAGATTTTCTAATTCTTGTTGACTTAAATAATTATCATTATCTGAATCTAATTTTTCAAATGTTTCATACAATTGACGATCATTATATTGACCTGTTATTATTGGTGCTAATAATTCACAGAATTGTTCAAATGTTAATCTTCGTAAATCTAAGAGAAATAAGAAAAAAAAATTTCGAATTAAACAAAACAAAAATATTTCTTACGTGGTAAACGATTATTATATCTTTGAAATGTATCTTTATTTATTTCAAGACGAAAATGTTTCTCAATTGAACGTTGACGATCGCCGCGTTCATACCATTCATACATGACTATAGATTAATAATTAAAATATTTTAAACTTAATTTCTTCCTAACGGATTTTACCTTTTATCATTTCACCATTTACACGTTTCGTATATTGAGCATATTTTTTAACAACATCATCACGAATTTTATTATTCATAACTTGCATTATTTTCCAATCTTGTGCTTGATGTGCTAGAAAAATTTAGAATTTATTATTTGAAAAAGATGTCAATATAGAAAAATTAAATTTCGAAAGAAAATATTAAATCTATACCATAAAGAATGATTTAAATAGGAAGGAATATATTTTATGTATTGTATTCTTATACTATTTGATAAATTTATTAAAAATTACACACCGAGAGCATTGCTAGATGTTGTCGAAAGAATCATAGCCGGATGATGATATTCCATTAATAAAGATATACTTTGAATAACCAATCGATTATGTCGATAAAGAGTAAATTGTATTACTTATAACATCTCACGTACATACGTAGAATGACAGTAACAGACAAAGTTAAGAAAGAAAGGAAGAAAAAAACGTACGTGTGTATGTAATTGAAGACATAACGAGAGGGAGGAAAGCAAAAGAAAACGTATGGAAGCGACTTGACTACAACAAACTTTCAATCCATCTTTTTTACTCTGTCTATTGATGATTACATCATACATATATGTATATAAGGACGATAGGTGAAAAATGTTGATATTCAATATTTAGATTTCTTAAATAGGTAATCATCCTCTTTTTATTCAATATGTTTCAAGTGGATGACTTATGCTATTCACAAGTGTTTTAAGTTCAAGTGAGAGAATAACTAAATTAACGAAAGAAAAACTTTCTTTCTTTCTTTCATTCTTGAGTCTATCATATTTATGATGAATATCATTATTATTAAAAAAAAAAGAAATGATTCAATTTCATAACACCGTATGCGAAATCTATATCTTCTAAAGGTCATTCAAACACATGTGAAATTTCACATCGATAAAATGTCGTTTTTGTTTTAAAATATCTAACACCTTCGGCTCTCTACTACAAAAATAGAAGAAGACTAACATTGATTTCAATTGTCTTCTCATTATTATTAGTATCAATCACGGTTACCAAGAATAATATATTTGTCTTTATACCTTGTTTATGTTTCTATCAGAAATATTTAATAGAAATAAGTTATATGAATACTTTCCTAATTATTAGAGTCTCATTTCTATCAACAAGGAGTAAACGTACGCCAGATACTTCAAGCATAATATCAGCTAACGGTCTTATATTTTCCAGAAGCCAAAGATAAACTATTGTTCTATAAACGATTAGCTAGCCAAGTATTTGAAAAAAAATATATTGAAGTGTAAATCTTTGTCAATCTCACATATTTTTCTCTTTCCACCTGTTTCCATTCATTCATTTTGTATATAATTAAGGAGGAAGTCGTACCGTTTTTTTTCTTTTTCGAGTATCGGAAACTATAGATCGTTAATTAACATTGTTCTAGAAACATTCATTGTATGATGGTTTATTTTTAGTTTCTATTGGTGATATTTAACAAGTATAAACTTTCAAGTATTCAGATTTCGATCAAAATAACACATTTAATAGTCAAAGCAAACAAGACACTATTTCAAGGGTTGGTCTAAATGGATGATTCTTTATATATGAGAAATATTCTGAAGTATATTCGTTTTGAAACACTCTTAAAAATATATACAATGGAGAAAACTATTCTAACTATATTTTTGATTTATAGATAGAAAGAAAGTTGCAATCTTACCTGTATGTAAATATTCGTTTTATGAAAAATACAAGAAATATGAATCGTGATATTTCTATTAAACTATATCGAAACAAATCGAGTATACGTGATTCTTATAATAGGATTATCATAAACTAACAAAGAATAATTTCTATGGTATTCTAGAAAGAATACTTGATTTATTAATGATCATCTCATCGTTTTCTCTTTGTTTTAATCGATATAATAACATAGAGAAAGGAAAAAAACACGAGCATCAGCTGTCAATTAGAATAAAATGAATGGAATATCCTTGAAATGGATATAAATCAATCATTGATGGGTGGCAGATGTATGATCAAAACACATCCCAAAAACCTATTGAATATTTTCAAGACATAGTAAAAGATATAGTAAACTATTTTTCATGCATTAGTAGAAGTCAATATCATAGAATAAAATCATAATTAAAATCTAATCATATTTTATTCTTTTTTCTGAAATAGAAAACTTACGTAGTTTTTGATAAGCATCATTTCCATATAATGCATGATAGAGCATCTTCTCACTATTGACAACAAATGGAGGGACTTGATAAATCGCCATAGACGAATCATTATGTGGATAGGAATGCATCATATTGTTGTTATCGGCCATGAGATATGTATGTTTTCTTGTTTTGTTATACAAATAAATGTTCGCAGGTCTTGTAATTTGATTTCTTAATATTTTCAATATGTGTGTTTTCTCGATCGATCGATGATTCTAAAAGAATAAGCGAAAAAATAATCTTTAGAATAAGTTTTTTTCTTTTCTTGTTTACTGACGGAGATCAGAATGGGCGGAAAAGAACTTTCAGATATTTATATAACTAAGTAAAAAGGAAGAAAGATGGTTATTGTTCTCTATTCTTGTCATCATCATCATCATCATTAAAACATATGTGCCATTTAGTTTTATAGATTCTCTCTTCTTTGTTTGATTCAGAATTTGAAAAAAAAACAGCCCTTTCCTTACTGATATATATATATATAGTTTTATACGATTATATTTAGAAAATAATGTTTTTCTCCAGGATAAAATGAAATATTATGATTTTATTACAAAATTTAGTTTTTTATGGTATTAAAAAAGCATAAATCATGAATTTCTCTATTCATGTAAACTTAATAAAAGCTTCATTTTATAAAAGTACTCCTACAGTATAAGCACTTAAACATTCATAATAAGTTGGAAGAGAAAATATGCTTATCTGGTTTTATTATTCTAATCAAGAATAAAAAGCATCTTTTGTATATCTACGAGACTATCTACTTTAAATAATTAGCACGGTAGTACTTTAATTCGTAATTTTTAAAGAAACCACTCTATCTACTATGAAGTTTTAATATATCTTATTAAATAAATGATATGAAGCATGTTAAAATCTCAATGCATTGGTAACAATTAGATATGCACCAGTCTTATAAGATGGATGACAAACATGAATAATTTTCTCTATGTAAAACACCCAATCCTTCAAGTCATTTAAACTCACTATCGATCAGACTATACAACGCTATTGTTACACTTTGAAAAATAAGACGGGAACAAAAAAAGGACTAGAGGTGACTGGTAAAAAAACAGAAAACTTCCGATTTTTTACCGGTGACTTCCAGTCCTTTTTCTTCCCGTCTTATTTTTCAAAGTTGAACAATAGCGTTGTATAGTCCGATCGATAATGGATTTAAATAACTTAATGCCTAATTTTCGTTTTAGTTTTAATCGTTTGTCATTTATAAGTCTTAAATTATTATGTATCGCTGTTTGAACAGAATCCTTTGTCGATGTTAATATTTCATTTGATGGTAAACATCCCATATTTGATTTTTCTTATTGTTTCTTATATATTACATAGAGTGAGTGCATACAAATATCATATTGAACCAAATATTGTCCTTTCAAACAAGAAGCGGAACGCGTTATACTTTTTTCTTTATTATTGTCTTATGGTATTTGATAGTAAAATGAATGCATAATGATGTTTTTCTTTACAAATATAAGAGTTTTCCTTTCTTCGCCATTATTTTTATAACTATCATACGTCATGATCAAAGAGATCGATGTATATAAACTTGTAAAATGTCCTTAATACAAAATTCACTCATATTATTTTCGACATGAAATAAAACAAGTAAACAAAATTTTATATGCAAAAATAGAATACTCAAAAAACATGTAAATTTATTTTTGCGAGAAGAAAACTTCTGCATTCTTCAAAGATTTATAAATTTAATAGAAATAGACAAGCATGAACTAATTTTTCTTATCGTTTACGCAAAAACTAATACTACAGTACATCTTTCAAATCTCAAATATTCAGTAGTTTTAACAATTCACACAAATTCCGGTGTTTATAATATCTGAAATTTTTTTTTTCTTTTAATTTGTTTTTATTTTTTTTCTTGCCAAAAACAAATGCAATAAAACACACAAACACATATATAAAGTGTATATATATATATATGTATATATGTATATACTGTTCAAAACAAAAAAAAAAGAAAAGCTTCTTATGTTATAAAGATAATGCAAACAAAAAGATAATTACGATAGAGTAACAATAGAAACATATAGGCACGCCACAGCAAGTAATTCGAATTGATATATGTCGATACAATTTAACAGACATTAAAATATATAACAAAAACATAGAATGATGTTACTGTTCAAAGCAGAATGACAACAACAAGGAAACAAAAAAAAAAAAGAAGAGGAAAAATACCTGAGTACTAGGTTCTTTTCTTTTCTACCTAAGAAATAAAAATAAATGGTACAATATAGTCTACTTAATGATCATTTTCTACAACTTTTCCATCATCAATATCAATATCTTCTTCATCATCCTCCTCCTCTCTTTCTATTGTTGTTGATGGTGATGTTAAAGTATTTTTTGTTGTTTTAATTATTTCTTCATCATCATCATTATTTTCTTCTCGTTCAGCTTGAGCTTTTTGATTTAATGAATCGACAATTTCATCTAGACAAGCTTTTTTGAATGAAATAGATTTTTTTGTTAATAAAATTTCTGTTTCAGGTATTGATATTTGTTGTTCAGCAGCTAATAAACGACGTTTACGATCAAAATATTTCCGTTGATCATTTCCTACTGTTTCATGTGCAATTAAAGATGATGTACTATTCGATGAAATATTTGATTCTAAATCATCTAAATCACCAATAGTACTATCTTGTTGATGATTATGATCATTTGAAGATATTTTACTAATTGTACTAGAATTCGATGATACTTGTGTTGCTTCTAATTTTGATATACGTTCACGAAGTATTTCATTTTCACGCTTGAAAAGAAAACAAAAAAAAAGGGTTAAGAATGAATACTATTTTCAATAATAATGAAATATACTCGTAATAAAACTGTTTCATTTTGTTGATTTTCATTAGCAATAGAATTATTTTTAGATGAATGTGCATAAGCAGCTAATTGTAATTGAGAAATATATGTTAATAATTGAGTACGACCTCGTGAAGATGTGACAGTTGCTTCAACTATTTGTCGAATACCATCTGGTGAATAATCTATTTGAAGAAAAGAAAATATAAATATTAGAAATTTATTTACAGATTTTTGTTTTTCGAAGAATAGTCAAATATGTTTTTACTAAAACCTGACATAACGATAAAACAATGCCTGGAATTATGACGTCAATAAACTTTTTTAAAATTTATATAAGTCATGTTCAGAGATTTCAAAGTCTCATCAAATTACATCCAAATATTCAATTAATAAATGTCTATATAAATTGTAAAAGTCATAATTATCTTACATGAAAGGTTATTATACTTTTATGTTAAAAATAAAGATTTGATTAATTCCTTTGAATAAGCACGAGAAGTTTTATCAAAAGGAAAAAAAACGTTTTTTTTTTTATTTACCATTAAAATTTGTAATGGATGAATTTGTCGGATCGGTTGATGCAGGAGAATTTGAACGAACAACACGTAAAGGTGACGGTCGATTTGTTGTTGTTGATTCGGATGGGAATGTGGAAGGAATTAAAGCTGGACGAGGTAAACCAGCACTAAATGGATAATCTCCTAGATGATTATCTTTTTTCACGGATGAAAATGCTGTTTGTGGATATGGATAAAGAGTATCCGTTGACCAACAATCGGATGATGAAGCGATTGTTTTTACTCGTTTTTCTGCTGGTATTAAACAATCCTAAAAATAATTCAAAAAACATTTTATAAAACAAAAAGAACAGATATTATTTCTATTACCATTTGTTGAGGTAATCTTTTCTTTTGATTGTTATTATTATTATTATTTAAAAATTTCTCTTTAAATAATTCTAATTCTTCTCGTGCTTTATTGTCTTCAGTTGAGCGTATTTTTAAGTAAGCTCGCCAATTATCAGAATTAAATCCCCAATGACAAATACGATTTTCTTCTGATTTATGTCCATGTGAAACAAATGTTTTAGGTGAAAACAAAGCTTGACATGTATCACATTGTATACATTCTGCGTGTGGTGCAACATATAATGTTGGATATAATGTTCCTGAACATTTACCAAAACATTTATGTTGAACTTTTATTGAATATAAACGTTCATATTGATTTAATCCTAATGAATTAACTGATCGCAATTGTCCTTTATAACGTAATTGTAATAAATTTGCACAAAGACGTTCAGCATCTGTTTGAGTTATTAAACCACATGATGGAGCATTCAATGGTAAAACTTGCATCATTTTAAGAATATCAAGTTGTTCATTTGTACAACGTGAACAATATATATGTAAACGTTCACATGCAGCATTGATTTCTTGTAAGGAGAAATCTTTTAAGACTGTATTAAGAATTTCCGGTAAACATAAACGTTTTTCACCACCAACAAAAAAACATGTAATACGTTCGCCTATTCAAAAAGAAAACCATTAATCAAATAAATTGTTTTTTTTCCTCTGATTCTTTATTCTCATAATATTCTTATTTATGAGGTGTTAATTGGAATGTCTAGACGCATATTTTTTTTATCACATATATTCATACCTGATCAGTATCAGAGTATCAAATTGAAATAATCAAGTAAATGCTTTTAAATCTCAAGGTAAAATAATAAACTTAAGATGATGTAATATATAATTCTCTTATTTTTTTTTTCACAGTTTGTAAATAGTTATAAATCATTGGGAGAAACAAATGTCACATTGACTCGAACTTTTTCTTTTTTTATCTATTTTACATTTCTTTTCTTTTTTTTGCAAGTATAGAATTACTTATAAACATATTTTTTTTTCTTTGATAAAGAAAAAGTAAGGATACCATAAAAGGGCTGCAGGATATATCAGACGAACAGAACAAAACAAATACTTTGATGCTTTCTAGTAATCATTAATAAATAGACGCACATCAGCTAAACCCTTTTTTTTACTTCTGTGACATGTATACTGATCTACAAAGAAAAATTTTTTTTTCTAAAAGTGGTAGCGAAAGAAGAAAAAAAAAGTGAAGCTATGTCGCTAGAAGAGAAGAACATTATACAAAAGAATTCTTTTCTTTGAATTTAACACAGTAATTTTTTGTGAGAAGAAAAAAAAATGAACATACCTGATGATAAAATTGTTTCGCTTTTCGAGCCTCCAATTGATGTATCAGCTTGTAAACATGGTGGTCCCTGAATCATAGATCCAAGTGGTGGTTGTAGCCATTGATCAAATGTTGTTGGTTCTTTTGTTGATTTTTTTATTTGAGAATCATTTGATATTTGCTGTGAATCAATTTTTCCATTTAAAGTTGATAATTTAAGATTTGATATAGAATTTTCTGTATTTAATTTTGATAATCCATTACCAAGAAGATGTCTTGGTAAATTTGTTGCTACTGTATTTGGTGGTGGATGATTATAATAAAATGCATGTTGAAGAAATTCTTTAGCAGTTGGTTGCTGTTGTTGTAAATGTGGATGATGACGTGCAAGAAGTTTTAATAATTGTGGATCAATTGATGGAAGTGTAGTTGATGATGTTGTCGATGTCGTCGTCATTTTTACATACACAATTTAATAGAGAGAAAAAAAACCGATGATCTAAAATAGAAGTAAAAAAAATCGGTCTAAACAACGATGATTGTGCAAATATCTGTCTCTTTCGAAGCGACGATGACGATGACTGCCCCTCGAGTTGTATAAGAGAGAAAGAGAAAAGGGACGGTCCGGGCATACACGTAATCCTCTATGCGTTCTTTTTTCTCTTCCTTTTCTTTGTCGGTCGGTCGCTTACGAATAGTTGAACTTATATATGTGCGTATATGTTCAATATGAGTGGCGAGGAGACGACTGGCGAGGCAAAGAAAAAATCGAACATAACTATACTAACATCGCCAACACAGAAAAATAGACGAGGAGGAGAACAAGTAGTAAAAAGAAAGAGAAGAGGCGGCGAGCAAGCGTAAGAGGTGAAGGTTGAACAAGCGAGAGCATACATATAGTAGCGAAAGAAGGTGGTCGTTTCATAATAACACTTACATATAGAAGCACAGAACCGGACAAAGTGTATATATAGTAACATGGCATGATAGACTATGTCATTCTCTTTAGTAAAGATACAAAACTTTTTCATAAAAGCATACTTTATCAATCAAGCAATAATGATCATCTTGTTATCGATTCATGAAGAAAAAAAAACATAGAGAAAAGAGAAAAATAAGAAAACATCTCCATTATACTCCTTGACATATTTCTAGCGGAGATGATAAGGACGAGGCTCCAAATACATCTGTTAGAAGCAGAGTGCAAACTTTCCTACTTTAGTGTAACTTTCATGGTTGAGACGCATAGACAGACTTTCTAACGACTAGACGACGATGTGACGAGACAAACTAATGACGATATGTTTTTGTTTCTGACAACAGAACTGAAAGAACTTCTTTTTTTTCTATGTAGTCGTGGGAGACTGACAATGCAGAAAAAAAACGGGAGAACCAAAAATCAAGTTAACAAGAAATGATAGACATGAGAACGCAAGAAAAAGACTATTGCGAAGCATAAAAACGCCAACGCAGAGAATAGAAACAACAAGGTGTTTTAATGGCGCACTAGTGTTTTTTCTATCGTATAATACCCCTACGTCATCAATAACAACTGAAAAATATTTTGAATAGAAAAGAAAAATTTAAAAGAATATATTTTTTTTCTTATTAATTATATTTTATTATGAAATTATTTTATTAGAGAAATAAAGAAAAGAGGCAGAAAACAGATCTGTAGTATTCAGTCTGATATACATTCTCTAGTGTCTATATTATAATACTGACTAGCAGCGTCTAGTCATTGATGACTCGAGAAATTGTTATTATTTTTTTGTTTTTCTATATGTCAATACACCATTTTTTATGTATTTTTTTTTCTGATGACGTCATATATGAAAACACAATTATCTGATAGATGACGACATCATCATCGCATTATTATTCATTATTATTGTCTAATTTATTATTTGTAATTTTTTATAATTTATTAATGATAATTTATTATGAAGTCAGAATATTAAAAATAGTTTCTAAACAAATGTACTTTTTCATTTCATGAATAAGACGGTTTTTCGATTGGATTGATTGCATAGTCCAATAAAAAACTGAACGACATAGATTACAATTTTATTTTAATAAATAATATTATATACGATTCCCTCTTAGTCTGTTAAGCATTCTCAAATAATTTTTTATTATATAAATTAAAAAGGATACTTCCGATAAAAGATCTTCATTAATAAAAATTAATGAATGACGTCAAGAGAAACTATATCACGTTGTTATGAGACAGAACAAAAAAAAATAATATCAAACTATAAAATGGACCGAAAAAATACCAGTCTATTCAATGTTACATTTGTCATACTCTAAGCACCAAGATGAGTTACTTTTGACGTCATATCAAACAAAACAAAAAATGAATAGATGAGAAAACACTGACGTATATATGTACTCACTAATGAAAATCAATAGAATATTTTTACTCTATACAATTCTATTAGACAAGTACCAAACTTACATATACTCACCTTTTACCTTTCGATGTAAACAATGTTTTGTTGATCAAATATTCTTAGTTTTATACTGTTTCAATACCGCACACATGACAAAACGCCTACGCTCATCTATTTTTTTATTTATTTATTTATAATAGAGAAAGAAAAAAAATGTACTTTTTCAAATCAAAATTTGTTTATTATAGACCATAAAATTGCCAATCGCCTGTTATTAATCCATAGCTTATTGCAAAAAGAATTCCACCACCAAACATTGCCGCTGTTGCAATGAGAGAACCGATTAAAAGATGAGTAAAACCTTAAAAAATAATGTATTGAAAAACACAAATTAACCAATAAAAACAAACAACTTACCAGAAATTCCTTGTCCACTTGTACAACCACCTGCACAACGTGCACCAATTAATAATAAAAATCCTCCAAGAAAACTATCAAAAGCATTTGCACCATATTTTTCATTTAAAGGAAATTGACCTATTAAAACTGTTGCAATAAAGCTTCCTAAAATCGCTCCGAAAGAAAATAATAATGTTAAATTATTTTGTATTCCATAAGCAAATGGTTCTAATGATGGAATTAATTTTTTAACAGAATTTATACGACATAATTGTGCAACTATTACAGTAAATCCAGTTGATATACCTAATGATTTCTCAAAAAACATCATAAAAAATAATTGTAATAAACCAATACCAACACCACATAATACTGGTGACCAACCACTTCTTACAAGAGAATCATTTGGTTCAATTGAATTATTTTTATAAGGTATAAGCGATTCAAGAAGAAATGAAATACCAATAAATAATAAACCAAATATTAAATTTATATAAATACGTTTTATACCCATTAAATCTGGAAGTTGTTGAAGAACTGTCGATGATTTTGGTAGTTCACATTTTGTTATACGATCATTAAGAAATAAATAATAAAATAAAACACCACAACTAGCACCAATACCTGTTATAAACGAATTTCTTAAACCTGAACCACTAGAATTAAATTTTCTATTAAAATTAAATTAAGGATACAAATGGAACACATACATTTGAACAAATATAGTTCCTGGACAGCTTCCTGCAAGAACCATTCCAACACCAATAAGACTACCACCGATTATCAATTGCAATGCTAAAATACAAGATTCATTCAAAATTTTTGTCTACATAGAGATATTCATATTCTTAATTGAAATATTCTAAATTACCATTAATACGATTATTACGTTGAATAAATCCATTAAGAACTTTTCGATACACAGATTCATTAATGATAATTAGAAGAACAACACTTAGCATTGACATTCCAACAGCAGCAAGAAACATTTTAATCATAGCAAAACGTTTGAATAACATTTGTTCACGAATTGTTGGTGCAAGATATACATTTGCTTTGTTCATTAAAAAACCAAATATAATACCTAATAATATTGATGCACCTATACGAATTGTAGTCGAATTTTCATTAGTTGTTTTTGTATTTTGATTTCTATCCGAACTTCTAATTCAAAATATTGAATGAAAACAAAAAAAGAATTTTCTTACTGAAAAATATTTGATGTATCGTTGATAGACATTTTTTGTCTATTACGATTTACCGTTTGATTGCTTGACATTCTTCTGTAATTAGATGTTCACTTATGCTTAAGGAGTATCATCTGAATAACTAAGTAGAAAAAGTGTAGACTGTTATGCTTGATTGATCGATGAAGGAGAAATATTTTCTATGGTTTTTCATGTATATAACACATGTAGCACTGACACATGAACGAATCAACCAATCATATTCTTTTTGTTAGACTTTAATAAGAAAAGTAATCGATATTTCGTTTAAAATCATGAAATGTAGTTGCAACATAATAAACTACCTTTTTATTCTATAAAAATATCTTTTAATTTCGATAAAAATAATAACTATATGCTTTTCTAAAGAAAACACCTGAAATGCTATAATTGAATTCTTTACTGGATAATAGCGCCACCCATACATAGTGAGCAATCGTTTACTCATACTGAAATACATAGATAATTAAAAATACAATAAAGAAAATATATTTTCTCGAATGTTTACTTATTGAATCTTTCTATCGTCTAATATGGCACCAGTATCTATTTGAAGAAAACAATGAATATATATATGCGGAAGCGTACAATAAAACAAACACTATGATAAATGATGTACAGAAACATTAACCGTGAATATCACAGAGCACTTTTAATATCTGTCATATACCGTAACAAACGTTTTTTTGAAGGAAAGATTAGAGAATTTCAGTATACTAAAATGATCTATATAAGTATGGAAGAAGGAAAATCAATAAAAACTGCTGTCGTTAAGAGTACGATGCTAGTAAATGAAATAAAATAGGTCATATTATCCATATAGTTACAAATCGAAGTGATATGGAGTATTAGAACTTCATTGGCGGTTGTCGAAATCTAAAGACGCATTATTAAGAAAATCGTATATTGTCAAAAAGAAAGCATATAAACTCATAGAGTTAATGCAATATTTACGGTAATTGTGTTTTAGGCCTTGTCGTTTTAGTTGTTGGACGACTACGTTGATTGAGCTTCGGTTGGTATTCCTGTCAGTTGGATGAATAAATAATCATTTTCAACCATATTATGTTACTTACCTGATCCTGGTCAAAATCACCATGAAAAGTTATCGGTTTCTTAGCTACTAAAGGTTTAGTAGCACTTGGACCGAAGCTTCCTCTACTATTACGTGAGTTGTTAGATACTGACGGCGGACGTAAAGAATGAGTGCCTATAAGAAACGAAGTTCGATAATGACACGAAATAAATATCATTTACTTGATGATCCAGTTCTTTGTGGCAATGATTTATTATCTGTAAGATGTCTGTCTACAAAAGCACTTCGCACTTGACGTGGTAATGATTGTGCACGACTTAAATGATGTTCTTTTCTTTGGTTAGCATTGGAATTTATCAACTGAGAATCTTTATCGAAACTCGTTCTACGTTCATTTGATGGTGGACGTGCAGCGATAGGAAGAGATAATTTATTATTTTCGCGTAGTTTCATAGTTTTTACATTTCGACGTGCATCCAAGATTGTATTTGATGTCACAGGCACATCTTGTGATATAGAACTGCGTCGTCGATTGTTAATTCGGTTCATTATATCATTCGTTAATGGTAGTGAAACATTATCAGATGATACTCTTGATGGTTGAAGAGATGAATAAGCTTAAAAATATTTCAAAACATGAAATTTTATTTCTGCAATATGCAATTATTATATCTGTTTGACTTACTTGATAAGGGTGTTGTATTTAACAAAGTAACTGTTGATACTGGTTCTAAATTATCAGGATTCTTTTCACAAGATATCTGTTGAGTGAATAAAATTGAATATTTCTATGAAATCACAATCAAATTGTTAATTTACTTGATGCTTGCCAAGTCGTTTTACTGAATACAATTTTTGGCAATATTCACATGGAAGTTTTTCACTAATAGGTTCTCGATTTATCGCTCTAAAACATTTTCACAACACCGAAACCCAATGAATGAAAAACTTACTGAGCACGAGCTTCAATTCGATAAATTTCACGTTCACGACAATCTTGCTATACGAAGCATACGATAGAATATAAAACAATAAATATATTAAAATCTATTTACAGTATGAGTTGACCAGCTATATATATCAATCTGTTCATTACAAATTTCACATGGAATATGAATAATATTATTTGAAGTCCCAGGTTCAACTTCTGATGAATGGGCTACTATAAACATACAATACAAAATCTTGGAAAATTTCAGATGTTCAAGTTTAAATAATACTTCGAGTTTCATTTGATTTAAAAGATTTTTGCTGTTGTTTTTTATTAGTATTATCAGGATTTTCAATACAATTCTCCTAAATATCGTACATTCTAACAGAAAATTTATATATTATAGAGTAAAATATACCTGATGAATTTTATGTTCAATAAACGTAAAATCATGATTACAAAAGATGCATTTAACTGTATCTAATGAAAAAAATTATAGGAATTTGAAAACGCTGAACTCACGTTTGTCTGAGATTTTTGTGCGATAATTAGAGGTATAATAACCACTATCATCTTCTTGGTCATAGTTTTTGATATTCATCATTTGAGCATCTGATCTAGTAGAGTTTGAGCGAGGATGATTTACCGATGAATTTTTCAATCGTGGAGTGGGAGTATCAATATCGTCATCCAAATCAGCACAATTATTTTCATAATGATAAGCAAAAATACCTCTTCTAATATATCGATGACATTTTGGACATTGATCTGTTTTATTTCCACATAACATTAGATGTTGACGTAAAGCGTCTGTTGATTGTTGTGGTAGTTGGCAAAAAGAACATTGAAATGATTGATTTGTGGAATTAGTCGACTAAAAGTAAAATTAGTCGAAAATTTATGATTATTCTCTATGACAATCTACTTTATGTTCGTTTCGATCTACTTGGTTCGTGTAATCCTTAGTTTGTCTATCTCACATCAATAAATATACAATAGATACTTTATATAGAATAAATAGACTTACTTTATTTGGGATCGATTGTGTTGCATTGCGGTAGCCATAAAATATCTAGTATCTACATGAAATATTCAATATAAAGGAAGTAAAATCCATAAACATATTTTACTTATTTTTCGTCTAAATGATTAAAAAAACTCGTAGAAAGTAATAACAACAAGAAAAGAATGATAAAAAAAAGAATTTTGTAAGAAACGAGAAAAAGTAACGTATTGATAAGAAACAACAGAACAATAAAAGTCTTTGAAGTAAGCGAACATTTGATTTGTTAAAATCTAACCAACATACTCAAATAAATATTTAAAAGAGGTCAGTGACAGACAAACATTTGATGTTAGTCATTTTGAATAAAAAAATGTCACTTAATGATCAATAAACAATGTCCATAGGCTACTGTTTCAAACGAGTAACAAAAATTTGATTGAAAAGTCAATCAAAGTTCTTTTTTTTCACAGTACAATATTATATTATAATTGATTCAGTAGTGTAAAATATACGATACGTTGACTATTGTGGATTGTAAAAACAAATGTTTACTTCTTTTTAATGATGTAGCTTGATAGAATAGAAGATTGTGTACCTCTTCGCCGAAAAAAAACATTCGCGAAGACATAGATTGCCTAATACAATATCTTCGAAATAGAGTTCGACGAATTCTTTTCCTAATTTATAATCGTATCCTTTTTATCGACTATCTTTCTTGCAGCAATACTTTTTGTGAGTCACTTTTTTGAATGCTCATTCCACATTCTCATATATACCAGAAGAGGGTCTCTGTAAATATTGTATGTGGAGAATAAGTTGTTACCTAGTCTCGTGAACTTCCTAACTTAAGGACATAAATATGTATGTAGACGTAGCCAAGAAAATTATACTACTTATCGAAATTTTTTACCTATACACCCTATTTTTGTTTCATATGATTTATTTTGGTTTTGCGATGTTTTTTATTTTCTTTCTTTTGGTGTTGAATGTTATTTCGATACTCGATTTAGGATAGTTCATATACCACTCGTTCTTTCTTTTTGCCTACTTGTGGCGGTATGCAAATCTCTCATATTTCTTATTATATTCTTCTAGTAAGTAGCTTCCCTGACACGTACCTTGCATAGCAGGAAGATTGTATAGTAGGTACCTTTGACAACAGAAAGCTGCTATTCGAGATTACATGCATAGGATTCCTTAAGAGTGTGGATGTAAGTGTTATAGTTATGCGCTAATAGCTACCGTCATCCACATCCTCAAGATGGTTTATGGAACATTTAGAGAAAAGAACATATTATGCTAGCGAAAACTTGCACTATTTTCAAAAAGTTTGCTTCGTAAATCAAGTTTGTTCAATAGTTTTTACTTCGAATGGTCTACTCATGACGACTTTGAAATGATACATGTTTTCATTTTTTCAACTGATATTCAGCAAGAAAAAGACTTTTATTTCTTTGAAACTAATGTTCAAATTTCACGCGACAAGATGAGAGCGTAGTCGTATTCAACCGCATGATGTGCCTAAAGATCAACTAAACTGATAACTCTACTACACCCATTTAGTTGTAAAAAAACGTAGACTGCAAGCAGTTGAGAGATTCTTCGCTATGTGGGGTTATCTAAAAAACGATAGGGTGGCTGAAGAAGTAGTCTTACATCTGCAATGCAAATATTCGTCTCTCTTAAATTTGAAGGCTAGGAACGCTCCTTCTCCCTGACATGAATAGTACTCAAAAATTCATAGATATACCACTGTCCCACATCCTCAATCTATCTGACGAGATATTTGTAAGAACCTCGGAACCCAGATAGTGGTAATTTGTCACAAAATTTACCCTTTTGAATGAAATATTGTCTGTTGCTTTCAAATTGAACTAAATTAATATTAAAAATAGTTCCTCAACTTTCATTAAATTTCATTTAATTAGATTGCATTTATACAAATCGATTAAACTGAAAGTAGTCGTGGCACTTATTTCGTTCCAAAAACACAATAGTCAAATGATAGTACTAGTACATTCTCTTTGAAACTTACAACTAAGTAAAATAATCGAAGTTTGATTTCTTTTAAACTTGAACTTGAGATAAAGTGATCTGTTGAGACTCTTTGAACGAGAGTCAAAATGTGTCATGATACCTTGTGTCACCTCCAACAAATGAATCTATCTGCTGGATCCTTAAGAAAAATATTTAATCACTTTTATCGTAAAATGACTTTTCCCTTATCCAAAAGATATGATGAGATTATCTTTGATCTAAAGCGACAAAAAAACACAAGCACAACAAGTTCAAAGCATTCAAATCATTTTGAAGTTATTGTTTTCATCTCTAAACAACGACGTGACTCTTTTTCTTGTTCGACATCTATTTTAAGAGCTTCTTGTCAATCGATGTCTCATAAAATTCTTTTTTTATAACTAGTCGATGGTAAGATATGAAGAATAAAATCAAGAACCTGTGGAGCATATGAAAGTAAATAAGAGCCAAGCAATGTATGGCGTTGTCAATTATTCAATTGTGCACATGCAAAACTAAAAGTAAGAATAGCTTGGTGATCAAATTCCACCTGGACGACGACACTACGGAATTTCTTCTCCATCATCGTAAATGTGATAGACAGAATCGAATTTCTCAATCCATTCGTCATCTCTAGTATTGTAGAGTAGAATTTGACCATGTGCAATGGTAAATATTACAATAAAATTCGTTATTATAATAGTTAACATCTTTTAATGATTTTATTCTCGCAATGAACATCACTGAAGGACAATTTTATGAGCCGAGCATGTCTCTGCAGTAAAAAAGAAAATGACAGGTTGTGACATTGAATTTTTTTTCATTTCCGTAAAAAATGTGTCTATTATTATACACTATCCAACAATCACATATGAAACAACAGTCGTTTCTAAGTATCAATAAGTCAATGACACGTATAGTGAATGCAAATATGGATTCAATTTTAGCAAATCAAAAGTAAATATCAGCAACAAAGAAATCATATTTGGGTATGAGTGTGAGTGTGAGTGAATGTGGGTGTGGGTGAGTGTGGATGTGGGTGAGGATGGGTGTGGGTGAGCGTAAGGGTTGGTGTGGGTGAATGTGGGTGAAGGTGGGTGAAGGTGTGGGTGGCTTATGAGATGACAGACACTGACTATGTCGAGGGTGGGCGTGGGTGAAGGTGGGTGAGGGTGTGGGTGGCTTATAAGATGATAGACACTCACTATGTGGAGGGTGGGTGTATCTTGATTATGACACCACCACACCCATAACCACCCACACCGGCTTTCATCAACACCTATCGAGATTTCTATGAGGAAATCCTCGATGTTTTTTTTGTGTCTACACACTTTTATCTGCTTTATAATAACTATCATCTTGTAAAAAATAACGAGGTAAAGAAACTGTTTTTATTTCAATTGAAATTCCATATTATTTTTAAAAGGTTGTTTAATTACAGAAAACAGATTTTAACCAAGTCAAAAACAATTGATCAACATATGCAAGTCATGGTAAAACAATAAAACTTTCGATGAATCTATCAAAAAATAATCTTGTCGTTCGTTTTCGAGCAAGTCCAAAAAGGAAGGGAGTCGTAAACGCTCATGTGCTCATCGTTCGCCATCCCAAAAATCTTTTTTTTTGTAGGATTGTAACATAAATGTATCTGCTTGTTAGTGTGTGTTGACTAATTCACTAACTCTTTTATTTCTTTATATCTTCGCATATATATATAAGATCTTATAACTAATGAGGAGGAGAGGCAAAGAGAAGGAGGTAATATAATAGATACCGCCACTACATAACACTGCTGATTGTGTAGTTCAACTTGGTTATAATAAAGATTCCGAGCACAGCAATTCATAGTAAGTTATTTTCACAATTTTTGAATACTTTTTTCTTAGAACATCTTATTTTTCTAGTATAAATGAAAAATAATGGAATTATTTAGTTGTTCGAATTTAAAGACCCGTTTTTTCGCTAAAAAGTGTTTCTATTGAACAATTAAAAAGAAATTTAATGAACTTGGAATTAACAGTTTATTCACTTTCAGGCGATACAAATATTCGTAAGACATAGTTTTATTTTTACAGAAATATTGATTTACATTTTTTTAATAGTTTCACAAATTAATGTTTTGCGTCTTAATCAACAAGACACACCCCAGGTCGAATAATTCGGCACGGAAACGGTCGGTTCCGTAGTATTCCGGAGATTTCATGGAAGCAGTATTCCCGTTGAACGGATCCGGTGACCGAATTTATTTGCATTAGGTCGGAACCGACAGAAACATGTCAAAACCGGCAGCCGGATACGGTTACCTCACTTCTCCATCGGATTCCTGGCATTTTTCGAGCGGAACCCGCCCAGAAATGGCCAGTTTTCTCAGGGATTATGCCGGAAATTGATGGAATCCTGCTTCAGGAACCCTCGTCCTGGGACTAGGGTAAGATTGAATTTGGTGAAATTTAGCTTAAAAACTGTTTATTACATTGAATAATGTGTGTGCAACTATATGTGTAACATATGTTAATTCTTTAATGTTTTCTTTTTTATTTTACGTAATATTTCGATGTTCATTCTTTCGAACAACATCATCAGACGTTATATGTTTGTTTATATAAGTACAAAATTAAAATATAATTTAATTATTTAAAAACAAATTTAAATAATATAATCATAACTCTAAGTTTTCAGTTCTTCTTCAATTGCGGGTGTGGGTGTGTGTGGATCTGTGTATGGACTCTGTATTCAGCTAGCGCACCCACGCCCTTAACCCAAGGGGT